GAAGTGCGATTAAACGTCCAGGAGCAGAAATCCAACTTCACAGTATGATTTCCGCGTCTGAATCTGCTTTTGCTTCTTTCTCTATGGAGTAGTTTCCTCATTCATCTGGGTATGGGGAACCCTAGATTTGTATGCTAGGTCTGATTGTATGAACCCAAGTACAGAGTTTGTGAATTGATTATATTCGATTGAGGTTTGAATGATTGAATGACTTGAATCCTGATCAAATTCCTGTTGTTTCTGCTTTGACCTGGAATGAGAATATCTGCCTAGGTTGATAGAGTACCCTTAATCGAAGGTGGCGAATTGGTGACTTTAGTCGAGGAGCCAATTCGCTATTCTGTACCGAAGTTAATTCGGTAGTGGAGGTTTGGTTCATTAGGGCCTCAATCTGTTTACTCCGGTGGAGGTTAGTCGCCCGCTAGAGACTCAGATTGAGAGGGTCTGGAGACCTTTAGTCGAGACTTCAGGCTAATTGAGAACCTTCCGCGGTATAACTTTCATGAAAACTGAACTTGGTAAATTGCAATCCGACTTAACTGCAGTCTAGGGGGAACCATATCCGGGTGACCTCTCTTGACTTGACAACAACCGTTTACTTGCTTTGTGTTTTGTTTGTTTGAGTTGCACTAAAAGTTCACCGCTAAATAACAAGAATTCACCGAGTAGTCATCACATCTAGGACCCGGGTTGACAATAAAACCCAAACCCGCTATACTACGCTTTAGGAAGTGGTTGCACTTGGCCATTTTCTAGAGTGACAGTAGGAGTGAGTCACCATCAACATCAAGTGGACTACTATATTCATGATCACCCTCATCTCTTCGAGCATCAACACCAATAGCATTTTTTCTCTTCACTCTAGAATTGGATACAGTATTGCTTGCACTAGTACCCCCACTCGACATAATTACCCTGCACAATAAGGAGAGCAAGCAGTAAGTCGTATGAACTCATCGCTAAGGATGTTGCTAAATTCACCATCTTGATTCTTTCAATTCTAAACAGGAAAGGCAGTATCAGTTCCAAGAGCAAGGGAAAAGAGGATTTACCTCAACAATATGAAAACTTGGAATTCAAAACCCTTTCCCAAACTCTAAATAACCACTTCCAAAAACAATGAACAATAGGATGCCAATCAATTTTCAGCCTGCTACTTTAATTGCACCAATTTCATCGATTTTTGAGATCTTGTGCTGCAAGAACATAAAATGGTGACTTACTAGGTAAAACGAAGTGGAGAAACACAATTTTTGGTATTCAACTGCCTTCTTACCTTACTTTTCCTGTGTCTGTGAACAACTGAACATCATTTAGATCTCCGCCCCCATTGTGTTTCCGTTTCTGAATTTGAATAGGTAAGATTCCATTTTAGATTGCAAATTGAATCAACGAGAAAAGAGAAAAACCTTTGACGGCGAAGAGCGACAGCTGGCGGGTGAAGACGACGAGCTACGGACGACGGAGTTAGGGCGGCGGCGGGCGACGGGGCGCTGTGGACTTGCGACGAACGAGTGGACGACGACGAGCTACGGACGATTGGCGACGGGCGGCGGCCGAGGGAGACAGGCGGCTTAGGGGGCGACGGGCGGCGGCCGAGTGAGGTGACGAGCGGCGACCGAGGGAGATGACGAGAAGGGTGGGCGCGGCGCTGGAGATAGATGGAAATAGGGTTCAGCGTAACCCCTTCTCCCTTTTGGCAGCTCGATTTTTTTTTAAATCAAAATTAAAAAACGACGTCGTTTTGATGAAAGGAGACAGTTTTGCTCCTTTGCTTGGAATCGTACAAAAACGGTATAAAAACGTGTTATTAACCGTTTTGACCGATTTTACTACGCTTTTGACTGATTTTGAATAACAAACGATTCTATTGGTGATTTGAAACGTTTTCCTACCCTAGAAACGTAAAATCGTACGATTTTACGTTTTAAAGCGCGATTTTGACTGCACTGATTGGCATAGACAATAAAAATGCAATCTATCATTTTAGGTTCCAATTTGACTTGTTTCGGTTTTGGAACTCGAACCTTTGCCAAACACCCCCTAAACTTGATGACGACATTCAGAGTAACCAAAAATAAATAGTAATTACTATTTAATTATTATAATGATTCTTACTATCATAATATATTAATAATAATTATTATTATATAATATCATGACATTTCTTAGTCAAAAAATAATTATATAAAATAATAATACACCTTTTCTCTCTTTCTCTCTCCATTTACACTCCAAATTGGGGTGTTGATGGAAATAGTGAAGTTACCCCCGGCCATTGCACCCCCTCACTCCTATTCCCAAGATTGTCAAACCGCTTTAAGTCATTGAGCCAGTCAAGCAAGGGGTTTGAGGTTTTAATGATCTGGATCTGGCCGGTTTGAGCCGTTTTAGAAGTTTTCTAAATATATATACAAATAAGGTAGTAATTAAAGATTTAATGACTAAAATATAATTTATCTTACATAAATCTATTAAAAACTTATTTTCTACAAAAACCTAACCTCCATGACCCAGCCACCATCTCCCTTCCTTCGTTCCTCTTCCTCTCTTCCCCCTCTCTTCTTCTCCTTTTTTTGGAGTCAGATCGGGGCGCTTTCTGGAGGCCTTTTTGAAGCCCGACTCGGGTCGGACCGGGTCCAACCAGGGGTTGGATAGGGATTTAACAACCTTGCCTATTCCCAGGGGCGGACCTACCTTAGAGGAAGATGTGTCACCCGACACACCTTGGCCCAAAATTTTTGTAAGGAACCCACATTTTTTCGGTACAAAAAATTCGAACATGGGACCTCCGACACACCTTTGATAATTATAATCAACACTTGTTACATTAAAAAAAATTGTTGTCATATTGTTATTAAAATATGTAAATATAGGAGTTATCAGACTTTAGAGTAGGTAGTTGATTAGTTTATTATAAAAAAGTAATTGGCTACTTAGTAAGTAGTGAGTATTCAGAGAAATAGCTGTCACCTTAGAGATAATCTCGATAAATTGAATGGAAATTGAGCTAATTAATAAGCTGGTTGAGTTAAGTAATTAGATAGTGAATTCCATGTCGTTTTCCCCTGTAGCTTCTTCCATATTTTTTCATAAAGTTAATTTCCAACTAGCTTTCTTGTTTGTTTATTGCTTTTCACGTTGACTCTTCTCGCCACCTTCCAATTGTCGGCATCGGGCCAGTGAAATCCTCATTCTCATCAAACTTCCACGTTGGCGCCTGTGGCCACTCTTTCAGCTTCCCATCCTAGTTTCCCCATCTTAAATGAGTGTTGACTTTACCTCTTGGAATTGCAAGTTACAAAATGACATTTTTCATATATAAGCTTAATTTGGAATGATATTTGGTATCAGCTGAGTGACCAATTTATGAATAATTGTTTAGTTGTTTACATAAAAAAGATTTGATTTCAACCTAATGCACAAATGTAATTAAGAAATCTTCACTGACACAATGAAATTGGTGAAATTTATGAATAAAATATCTATTTTATATTTATGTTTAATTATTTAATTTTTATTTTAAAATTATTTTTATGGCCCGACACACCTATCTCAAAATTCTGGGTCCGCCACTACCTATTCCTAATCATTCAAATGGGGTAAATGCATTTAACTCCAACCTTGCACCCCTCCCATTTACCCTTTATCCCAAACATAGTGTTAGTATTATCCAATCAGGGGAAAAATTCCAGAATACACACGTTCATAAAAAAAATCTAAAATACACACGTTTTATGAAAAATTCTCAATCTACACATGTTTGGGCATCACTGCGGGAGAGGACAGCAGTGAAAGCATCACCACGGCTGTCGGCCGTGGTGAAGGTGTGACTTGCGCTGAAACTTCAAACAGACGTAACTTTGCGCTCCGTTATCCGATCGTAGCGAAAAAAATTTTATTCCGCATAATTTTTTAAGATCTTTCAAGCCGCGAATAGTCAAAGGCAGATTGAAGTTTCAGCGCAGGTAAGGCCTTCTTACTGTTGTCCTCTCCCGCAGTCAGTGGCGGAGCCAGAAATCTGAATGAGGGGGGCTAAAAAAATTTACGTTCAAAGGTTTGAACCGGGGAGGGGGGGGGGGGGTAAAGCCTTACCACCTACTCTATTATCCAAATTTGCTGTGAAATTTACATGTAAATTTACACAATTTTGAGAGTTGAGATGGCTCCGCCACTGCCCGCAGTGATGCACTTAGTGTTGTGCCCTCCGCAGTGATACATTTCACTGCTTTTATCAACCGCAGTGATACCCAAAAATGTGTAGATTGAGATTTTTTTATAAAACATATGTATTTTAGAATTTTTTTTTAATAACGTGTGTTATGGAATTTTTTCCTCCAATCTAATCGACGGTTGAAAAACAAAATAGCAGCAACCGACACAACGTTGGTCGCACATCCTAATCAACATCGTCGTCATCTCTCAGTAGTCAGATTCTCGTCTTTTGTCTTTTTCTTCTCCAGTTTACCCTTTACCCCGTCCTTTTAGATTCGAGATCTACAAGTATAGAGCCGTCCAAAATTAAAATATTTCGCTTTTTGTTCATTTAGATAACCAACCAAATCCTTCCCACATAAAAAAGAACAGATAATTAATTGAATTATCGGTTGGATTAATTATTCTTTTCCCTTCCGTCCGCGGGTTCCCAACTTCCCATCCAGTAACGGAAAACGACACGCACATGCCCGGCCCGCGGTTTTCCCCGCGTCCAACTGTCGGGTCACACCATTCTCATCCCCTCCTCTATTTCAACCCGATCCACCCACCAGCACTTTCTTCCACACTTGTCTTCACCACTCAACAATATCCAGAAGAAGGGGGAAAAAACAGAGAGAAACGGCAATGCCAATGATCAGCAGCGACTCTCCTCCATCCTCGTTCCGGCACATGCTTAAGTCCTCAATCTGCTGCTTCACTCCCGTCGGCCACCTCCCCCACAAGATACTCGACCCGGAGGACGACGACGATTATTCCGACACTCCAAGCCAGCTGGGGCGGCGAGATCCAGCTGGATTAACATCCACGACCTCGAGATCCGGGACCGGTGCCTCCGGGGGTTCGTGATTGGGGGGAGATCGGGCCGAAATCGGAGGCGCTACAGATCCGAAGAATTCAGGTATGATCTGGAGAGCTACTCGTTGAATTTCGAGGACGATGCTCACCGCCGGGAGGACGAGTTGGCGCTCGGCGGATTCGCGGCCAGGCTGCCGGCTACTCCCGATAGGTATTCGGCGGCGGTGGAAAGCTGGAACGGCAAGAGTTCGTCGGTGTTGGCAGGAGTTTGGAGGACGGAGATTACTGCTTGGAGTTAGAGTTAATTGAGTTGAATTTTCCCGGCCCCAAATTGTAGTATAAGCCGGAGGATTATATATATCACCGATTGTAATTGTTTGTGCTGCTGGGCTATTTGGTCGGCTGTAATCTGTATATACATGAGTTATGAATTAATTGATGGTTGGTTAATTTCAGTTTAAGCAAATGTGCGGCTCTGTTCTTCTTTCTTCTTAAGGTTAGTTAGTGGAGACGCCATTTTTTAGGGTTGCAGTTGCAGAAGGCACATTGGTTTGGGCTTGGCGCGATTCTTGGCACGTTGTCGGGTCACAATATATATATATATGTGTGTGTATATGCTTGGGGACTTGTGGTATGGTTTTTTTTTTGACAAGGGACACAAATACAGCATTTACTTCGGTGGGTGAGGGGGATCGAGGAAAAGACATTCTCCCTCTACAACATCGACTTCTCTCTCTAAACCTTCAGTTTTCCTAAATTCCATCCTCTCCGATTCCTATTCAAGGGGAGATCACTGATCACCCTCCGTTTATTCTGCTTGACTCACTTTCTTCCACGAACCTACCTCCTACCTCCAGCTAGGTTCAAACAATTGGCGCCCACCGTGGGGCCAAGCAGAGAAACAAAGGAAAGCAGAAACATGGCAGATCATAACCAAGACTTACCTGACGAAGCAACGCCTATCAAGGCAATGACCAACCCAAGAGTGTTCGCAGAAGCCAGCGACCTAAGCGCGGTACTCATCGAAGAAGAAGAGCCCGAGTTGACCGCCAAGGAGATGAGACAGCTGGTGGCAAAACAAAATAATGTCATAGCTGACATGCAAAAACAAATGAGCCAAGTCATAGCGCTCATGATGAGCAAGGAAGCCGTGACAGCAGTAGAAGCGGCGCCAAGCGCGCCACAACAGGCGCCTGTAGAAGCATCAGGAACGGCCCCGCCGCCACAACAGTCGGCGCTAGGGGTGTACATGGGTCGGTTGGTTCGGGTTTAAGTATTTTAATCACCCGACCCATACACTACGGTTTGGGAATTGTCAAACCCAAACCCACCCAAAAAAATTTAAACCCTACGGTTTGTTTCTAATTGGGTTGGGTCGGGTTGGCGATATTTTTAAGTAAAAACCCAACCCAACATAAAATATATAATTATTATACACCATAAAAATATTTTATAACTAATTAAAATTTCAAACAAATAAACCGATGTGAAATGTATCAAAATTCACAAATGTTATTTGAGTTTTAATAAAATGTGATTTACTTCAACATATGCCTAGTTTTTTTCACGATATTTGTTGAAATAGGCTAAAAAGGTTATAAACAAATGCATCCATAATATGTTATTCTATTAAAATTGTATACAACAAAAATGATTACGTGAATCATAATTATATTCAATTTATGTCTAAACTTTAAGTCGAAGAATGCATTAGATCAGGGAGACCATGATAGAAAAACATGGCGAAATATCTTAATTTTCACATAAGTATGGCTATATACGACATAAATATTTTTTAGATACGAACTCATACTAATAGTTGGAACACGGGTTGGGTCGGGTTCTACGGGTTGTGTAATCCAAAATCCAAACCCAACCCAAAAGAGGCGGGTTGCACAAAAGAAAATCGTCACCCAACCCAAAACCTTCGTTTTAGCGATAAATATGGGTGGGTTGGGTCGGGTTGGACGGGTGGGTCGGTTTGCGGGTGTGTTTGTTCACCCCTAGTCGGCGCCGGACCCTCCTGCGTGTGAAGCGCAACAGACCGAGTTGCCCAGAAGGGCGGACCTCAGCTTCTTAGAGCAGCATCTGTCCCCGCAATACCGGTCCAACCCACCCAAGAGGGCGCTCCATCAACCACTGAGCGCGGAAATCATGGCGGAACACCTGAGCGGAATGCCACCCACCCTCCCAACATATAACGGGACGACTGATCCCGAAGACCACGTGAGCACCTTCTGCTTACGGATGCAACTCCAGACAAACTCCAACGCAGCGCTATGCAGAACCTTCCCATCTACGTTCTCCCGTATATGCCTAGATTGGTACAACAGGCTCCCAAATGGGATCATCCGTTCGTTCGAAGAGTTCATACTCCTATTCACAACAAAGTTCGCATCCCAGAAAAGAAGGCCTCTCCACCTCAAAGCGCTAATAGATATCAGGCAAAAGGGCGGGGAAAGCCTACGAGCATTCTACGCCAGATGGTCGAGGGTGGCAATGGTTGTGCGTGATCTCACACCCGAAACCGCCGCTCACCACCTCATGGAAGCCACCACCAATATGGAGCTCAAGAGAGCATTGGCGAAAAGACCCGTCACACTATCGACCGAGCTGGAGATGAAGATTGAGAAAGCAATCAAACTGGAAGAAATGCTCGGCGCGGGGTCTGTCAGACGCTTCGAACCAGCGAAGCCGCCTCAATAAGAGCAGGGACGAAGGCAACTACCAGTGCCGCGGGAGCAGTTGGCGCAGCTACACAGTGGTCCAAAGCGCCACCCTCCACCCCCTCCGGAACAAGCTCGCCGGGGACGATCACCTGACAGGTTTCCTTCAAACACCTACACGCCACTCAACGAGTCAGTAAAGAACGTGTTTCACGTTCTCCGCGAGAAAGGCTACAAGATCAACTGGCCTGCGCCCCTGAAAGCTCCGCTACACATGCGTGACCCGAAAAAGCATTGCGACTTCCACAGAGAAGCGGGCCACTGGACGGAGGATTGTAGGGAGTTGCGATACGAAATCGAAGGCCTCATTCGAAGAGGGTTACTCATGGAGTTTATCCGTGGAGCGGATGTCCAGCGCGAACGATCAGTAAACCCACCACCACCCCCCGCAAGCTGACTACAACGAGGCTACTGGCGCATACGTGGTCCGCAAGGAAATAGGGGTGGTGACAGTAGAGGGAGATCGTCCGAAAAAGAAAACCAAACGCGAACGCGCACTGGAGTGCGCATCGGTAGACGCTCAAACAAGGTGCCAAATCAGCTTCGACGACACCGAATTGCCGCAAGGAATCCCGTCCGAAGATCCCCTCACCATCACCGCTCTCGTGGCTGCCTGCAAAATCCACCGCCTACTGATAGACGGGGGTAGCGCGGCAGATATCCTGTTCAAGAGTACAATTGATCAAATGGACATTGATCCGCGCTTGATCAAGCGCGCCTACGGAAATTTGGTCGGATTCTCCGGAACGAGAGTCCCAGTGATCGGAGTAGTAACCCTCCCGGTCGTCATAGGAGACCAAGAACCACGCGTCTCAAAACAAGTCGAGTTCACCATAGTCGACTGCAATTCGTCCCACAATGGTATCTTGGGTCGACCATTCCTAGCAAGGTTCATGGCTCTTTCATCCACGTGCCACCAGAAGCTGAAGTACCCCACCAAAATGGGAACAGGGGAGGCGCGTGGGACGCAATGGGGAGTTGTGAAACCAGAAGGTGAGGCCCGCCAGACTAACATTGTCAACACAAGACCAGAAGAACCCCGCCCGGAATCGATGGATTCCGATTTCGAGGTCGCGCTTGACCCAACCGAGCCGACCAGAAAAATACGCATCTCGACACACGTCCGCGGCGGCGCGATTGAGCCACTGATAGCATTGCTCAGGGAATACAAGGAGTTATTTGCCTGGTGCACAGAAGACATGCCGGGAGTGCCAAGACACGTGGCCCAGCATTGCCTCGCAGTCCCATCAAACGCACCCCCAAGACAACAGACGCGCCGAAGCTTCACTAGCGACAAATTGAAGGCTATCGAGGAAGAGGTGACGAGACTGCTGGCGGCAGGGCTGATCCGCCCGGTCAAATACCCCAAGTGGTTGGCAAACGTAGTCCTGGTAAAAAAATCATCAGGATCCTGGCGAATGTGCGTCGATTATACAACAATCAACAAGGTGTGCCCGGGAGACCCTTACCCGTTGCCGCGCATAGACCAACTTATCGACGCCACCGCCGACCGCGAGACATTATCTTTTCTTGATATGTTCTCAGGATATCACCAGATCCCAATGTCCCGCGAAGACGAAGAAAAGACGGCATTTATGACGCCATTCGGCAACTTCTGCTTTGTCGGAATACCGTTTGGACTCAAGAATGCGGGCGCAACATACCAGAGGATGATTGATTCGGTGTTCGCACAACAAAGAGGGCGCAACATCGAGGCATATGTGGATGATCTCATCGTCAAAACCCAGGCGGGCAACTCACACCTGGAGGATCTACGTGAGATGTTCGAAGCCCTTCGCAAACACAGCCTCCGTCTAAACCCACTGAAGTGCGTTTTCGGAGCAGAAGCGGGAAAATTTCTTGGTTTTATGATAACCAAACGTGGCATAGAGGTCGACCCGAAGCAGATCACCGCGGTCCAGCAGCTCAGAGCGCCGAGGAGCGCTCTGGAAATACAATCCCTGAACGGCAAGATAGCGGCATTAGGAAGGTTCATACCAAGGTCCGCCGATAGGTGCGCGCCTTTCTTCAAAACACTCAAAAACGGCGCACGATTCGCGTGGTCTAAAGAGTGCGAAGCGGCGTTCCAAGAGCTTAAGGCATATCTTGTATCCCACCCTGTACTGTCTGCTCCCAAACTCAATGAAAAACTTTTCCTGTACCTAGCTGTGTCAACGAGAGCTGTGAGCGCAGTGCTTATATCCAGAAGAGACGATCAGACTGAGCGCCCTATGTATTACACATCAAGAACTTTGGTCAGCGCGGAGACAAGATACTCCCCAATAGAGAAGGCCGCCCTGGCATTGGTAAGCACATCCCAAAAATTGCGTCCCTATTTTCAAGCACACCAAATCACTGTCTTAACCAACCTTCCCCTGAAAAAGATTCTAACCTCGATGGAAGTATCGGGCCGCATGGTAAAGTGGGCGGTGGAGCTATCAGAATACGACATCCAATACGCCCCAAGGCCAGCAATAAAGGCGCAAATCCTTGCGGACTTCATCACTGAAGGAGTCACTCTCGAGAACACCCCAGAAGGAGTATGGGAGGTTTACGTTGATGGCGCGGCAAGT